AAACTTCTCCAAAAATTCAAAACTCACCACAAAAGGACTCACCCATGGACATAGAGCAAGAATCCTCAGCCAAAACCATTTCAGAAAAACCCCAAAACAAGCCAATTGCTCAAAGTGAAACAAAGAAATGGAAGCTTGAGGAAGAGGAACATGCTGATCAAGGCTGGGAGGAAATGGGCGAACGAATTCAGGGGGAAAAATCAAAGTCTTCTGCTGTCAAAAGACTTGAAGCAAGTTCTGAACGATTCATTCTAGGTTTTTGCATAAACCTAAAATGGTGTGAAGTGAGCAAGTACTCTGAAATTTTTGATATTCTGGAAGCTCAAAATTGGATTAAGTTGTTCATTGAATGTTATGATAATGTGCTTGCTCATGCTCCTCTAAAGGAATTTTGTGCTAATTTTAAGAATATGAATGGTGTGTGTACTAGCAAAAAAAAATCGAAAGATTAGTTTTGATGCTGATGACTTGAGTACTGCGTTTGGGACTCCTAATGAGGGGTTTGATGAGTATTTCAAAGAAGAAACTGAATTGAGTGTTGATAATTTGTCAATTGAAAAGATTGTTGATTCCATTGGGGGTAAAGCATCCAAACTTAGAACCAATCATAATCTGTTCTCACCTATTCAAAAAATGTTGTTTATCTTTGTTCACCTTGCTATTTTTCCAAGAACTCAACATAGGAATGAAGCAAATCACCTAGATGATGTGCTTATGTATTGTCTTGAAAACAAAATTCAAATCAACTTTCCTTCCCTTATGATCCAGCACCTCACTCACTATATAACCAACCATTTGAAAGTTGGATATGCCAACTTGCTCATCACCCTATTCGAAAGTAGTGGGATTTCCATGACCAACTATGAAAGCCTCAAACTTAAAACTAACCACTATATTCAACCTAAAACCCTTGAAGCTAGAAGCCTAAAGGTTGTTGATGGTGTCACTCAGTTTCTTTCCAAATCTCTTCCAAAACCTAAGCAGGATGAAAGCTTGAAGAAAAATCAAGATGAGAACCTAGATAAATGGCTAGAGGAAGAGGAGTGTGAGCAAGAAAAAGAAAAACATGAGGGGTCTGAAAAGAAGGAGAAAAAGGGGAGTATCTCGAGTGTTGGGAAAAGAAAGAGTCTCAGTTTGGCCATAAGGCCTAAGAGAAAGAATGAGAAAGTAGAGTTTGTTCCTTGTGTGGTACTCAGTGAAGAAAAAGGTGCTCAAGGGGAACAGAGAGCCCTGGAACAAAGTCTGATGAAAAATCTTTTCCAACAGGTACAGGGTTTGCTGCATTTAGTGTTGTCAGCTCAACACTGGAATTGAAAGCACTCAAAGAGGTTGTGAAACAGATGATAAACTCTTAGCTAGCCTTGCTTCGACGACTTGAGGCTCTTGAAAGCACAGTGGAAGAACTGGTGAAGGTCTCTAAAGAACTCACTTCATCCTTTCAGCAAAATACATCCACTATATCTGCAGGGTAGGCTGCATTGCTGAAGAAACTAGAGGAGATGGTGATTGAAGCACTTCCTGATGATGATGTAGCTGAAGAAAACCAATCCTCTGCCCCTGAAGCGTAATCATCTTTTCTTTATGTCTTAGCTATAACTATTTCTACTCTTTGAACTTGGTCTGGACTAAACTTATGTTTCTTTTGCTTCTTTTGGTCTGTTAATATTAAACAGGGTATTTGCTTTTGTTTTTGATGTTCTGGAGGAACATCAGTTTGTTTATGTAATGTGGATATTTGCTTGCTTGCTAGCTTTAAGACTATTTGCATACCATTTCTGCCTATATATGCTTTATTCTGTGCTTTGTACACAAACCATTTCAGTATGGTGTTGTGTTTAGATATGTATGTGTGGATAAATTTTTGATGAAAGCCAAAAGGGGGAAAAGAAAGGCAAACTCAATTGTTGTTAAGCTCTCCATCCATCTGCTTATTAAGGTATAAAAGTTTCAGTTTCTTATGTACTAGTTCAAACCTTTAGTTCAAATTTTTTATTTTTGTTTTTGATTGTCACTTCTTTATCTTACTAGAGTTTTCGTAGGTATGTCATTAATCAAAAAGGGGGAATATTGTTGACCCTAAGTTTTGATGATGACTCAAGGAACCTAAGCAAACCATAACTAGTTTAACTTCTGTTTTAGCTTTGATTATTGACAGGTTTATGCTACAAGATTCTGGAGTAAGAATGAAGCATGGTTCAAAGTCTAAGTCTGCTATGGAAGGATAAAGAAGTTAATCAGATGTCAAGTTTCTTGAGTGAGGAACTGAAGCTCCAGAGTCGAAGCTTCAAAACAAGTTCCTTGAGTGAGGAACTGAAGCTCCAGAGTCGAAGCTTCTCAGAGTGTCAAAGAGTCTATTTTATTTTATCTTTAATTTTAGGCTTCTTGTATTTATGCTAAGTACAATGATAATTGATTGGATTTAAGTGGATTTAATTTTATATGAAAAAGATTTTATTTTCCATATTTTCACTTGTTTATTTTCGAAAAATATCATTTAGTTAAAATATCTTTTTAAACAAGACTTTCAGTTTTATTCAAAGCTATCTTTTTTGAAAATCTGTTTTGGGAAAATATCTTTTAAACGTGTTTTAACTTTGTCAAAGAGGATGAGAAAAATCATGAATTCAGTAAAACCACTTCCTATTAATTCGATTAGCAATTTGCCCAAGTTCCCATTATCTACACTTCCTAGTTTTATGGAAGTTGTGGTTGAATGGAGATTAAGGCAAAACGACAGTGTTTAACTTCCTTCTTCCTCTATAAAAAGACTTGGTGTTCTATTGAGTAAAACACACTTGAGCATTACAATCTTTTAGCTTACAAAAAGAGTCATAATCCACTTAAGTCCTTGAGTGTCTTAGTACTTAGCATTTAGAGTTTAATCTTGAGTTGTATTGGGTTAGAGCTTGGGGAAACTCTAAGAGTGTTTATTGCTTTGAGTGAAGCAAGGAGAAGAGAGAGTTAGAGTGATCAACTGATTGAGGGATCAGTTGAAGGGTGCTTAAGTTCGTTGAGGAACTTGAGTGTAGAGTCTTAATTTGTAATAGGTTGTTTGCCCTATTATTATTAAGAGTTGAGTTTAAAATCCCTTGTGGTCATGGTTTTTCTTCTTGATTAGGGCCAAGAAGTTTTCCACGTAAAATCTCTCTTTGTACTTTTAGTTTTTGTTTGAGTTTCACTCTTAATTCCGCAAAAATTACCCTACTTTCTCTACAATATAATCCCCCTCCTCTTGTATTGTTCATTTGAGTCAACACTTATATAATTAACAGTCAAACTTGTATATTAACAAATGTGTCAGACAAACTAACACATATATTTCAAAATAGAGAGCACCGAGTTTATCCGAGTAATAACCAATGATGTTGATGGTCTAATTCGTTCATTTGCATTTCTTTTGACGCATTTATTATTTCATGAAGTAAGATCGCTTCTTTTGAACTTGGGGTGGTGAATGATGTTACCGTCTCCTTGATGGATAGGAAACAAGAATCTATCTATAAATATACTAAAACAACAACCGTTGACATCATCACTTTTTAAAATTGTACACATGTTAAGCTGATGTTAAAATTTTTCCCGCTTAAATCAAGTGCTGACATCATATTCTTATTTATTTATTTATTTTACCTTAAATTATTATAATATTTTTTTTGAAGACAATTATTATATTATATTATATTATATTATACTCCATATTTTATATTATGAATTTATAGGTGACTATTCGGCTTCAAAATATAATTATTTCTGTTAAAGAGTACTCCATATTGCATAATTTGCTTAAATATTTACTGTTCATCAAAATTAATTAGATCTAAATAGCATTGCAATTAATGGTTATGTTTCTATAGTTTATCTCATATGAGAGACATATATAAAATATATATTTATTTCAAAGAATTATTTTATGTTGTACATCGCACAGAGCTTATCTAGTTTATAATAAACAAAAGTCTACTAGTTGATTGAATAAAGCAAGTAAAACAACACCACCTAATAAGCACCAACAACTCATTCCTAAACTAAACCACTGGTATTTAATTATTTAAACCTTAATGGGCTAGTGCTTGGATAATGATGATCCGCTAGATGATCGTATCAGTGGTGGTAGTAACTTTGGAGTTTGTTCCTCAGTTTTACATGCGGAGGCGTTGGCATGCATGTATGGCCCACAATGGGCTTTGGATCAAGGGTTTCTGTCTCTCATGGTTTTTACTGATTCCTATAATCTTGTTTCCCTGCTTTGTGGAGAGGGGCAAGGTAATGTCGCTTACATTTGGCTCATTCGGAGGATTTTACAACTTGGCTTAACCTTTCGGGTTTGTAGTATCCATAAGGCGGATCGTCAGCGCGTTCTTAGAGCTCACCTAATTGTAAGAGAAACGACAGTTAATTCTATTTGCTTTAGTATTAATATGTAATTTGTTTGTACCCTTTGTCAAAAAAATAAGTAAATAAAATAAACTTAATGAAGAATGTGAACTCTAGCTTGTGAGCGAAGCATAAGCATGCACATGCTAGCTCAATTAGAAAGACAAATTTCTACATCTTGAAAATGATACAACCAAAGTTATTTGTTTGATCATGTGCTTGGGGCTAGCCCCATTATCTCAACATGAGATATATAGGTGTATCTAAAAAGGACATATTTGTAAATAAGAGAAATTATATGAATTTCTTTTTATAAAAAAAATATATATATATTTTACTTTGTTTTCTTTTTCTTCTTACCCCATCTTTTTTTTATTCTCATCTTCTTCATGCTTCTTCCTCCTCCATAGAAGTTGGTGGTGAAGAAGACGTCGATTAAACTAAAGCCCTAACTATAAAGATTGAAAGAAGGGTAAGGTTAACCTAAAGGGTTAGGTCGTTCTCCATTGAAGCTCTTCCACTTCTCCATTGAAGTTCTTCTGTTTTTCGGATAAAAATCTTCAATGCTCCATTGAAGCCTTCTATTATAGTTTGAAAATACAGATATTTTTGACCAAATTACAAAATTAACCCAAGTTATTCACGAGAAATGAAAATTTTGCCCCTTTGAGATACATGATTGTTGAGAAACTTGTATTTTCTCATGAGCTTGTATTTTATAAGCACTAAGGTTAAAATAATATCCTTGGTTGTATGGTTGTACCTTAAGGTACAACTTATTTTGTATGTTTCACGAAAGTTTCAAATAGATGAAACAATTTTGACAGGATGTATATTTTTGCTTCATATACAACCATAGAAGAAGCTATAATTGTGTATAAAAGGGTGAGCTACATCTGCAACTAGTACAACAGGTGACTGCATCCTGGAGTAACATGCTCTGGTCACAAGTCTACCAGAGGTAATAGTGTAGTCCAAGTTCTTGCAATCAGTAACTGTCTTCATCTGTTTGTGGCCTTCTTAAGTAATAACGGAGACAATTAACTAAAACCTGCAAATATAACCGTATTAAGTTATAAACAAAATAATTTATAAAAAACAGATGTAAATATAAAAAAACAGTGAGAAAGCAAGGATTGGCATGCAATATACAATTAAGTTCACATCCATCTTCATGATAAAGGGGGGAAATATTACATACATGAACCCAGCAACAATTTATCATCATAATTAAACGGCAAACAATAGAGTGAATAGACTTACCTGAGACAGAGAACTGTTTAGTGCTGCCCCTCTGTAACTTACATGAAACTTGTCCTTTGCAACAAGTCCCTGTATGAAGGAATAAACAGTAATTACAAGCAGTCCAACAAAAAGCAATAAATCAGCGATTATGAATTTAGAAATGAATGAATACTTCTGTGTCAATTTCTGCCGATTCCACATCAACATTGATATCAGACATTATTTTGATGACTTCCATCAGCAGTCCAGACCTATCTGCTGTTTCTATGTAGAGCAAACTGTTAAACAACAAACAGCTTGTTAGAGATTGATAGAGTCTAAAATCTTCTCTTTTCAAAATTATATAACATAAAAATTAAGCAATTAACACAAAAAAGATGCACCACGTGTTATAATTTAACCTCTGTTCATTCTTTCAGATGCTTTCTACAACTTTTACTTGCCTTTTATTAGGTTTTACATTCATTATGATATTGTCATCTGTGTTCAAAGCAAGAAATTATTGATTTCAAAATAAAGCTCTTTAAGAAGCAATAAATCGATGATTTATATAAGAATAAAAGCTTCCTATCCATTGTTACCATGCTTTAATATGTATATTGTATTATAGAATTTTGTAAATATTGTCCCACCTGAACAGTCCCAAGCCCTGATAAACCCTCATGATCACTTTTTTCGCCAACAGGCAAGAGCACCCATCTCTCTTGTGTTGCTACGTGTTCACAAACCCTTATAGGAGCTGGTATCAAAATTTTGACCATGATAATGTGTTAAAAAATTACAACAAAAAACCTCGTGTTAGGACTTTAGTGAGGGCTTTACAAAGATGGAATCAATTGAAGGACTAATGGACCCAATTTGTTTACAGCTCAAGAATGTGTTGACTTAGAATATTGCATAATTTGTTGATGGCTAAACAGCTAGAAGTCCTTTTTACTTGTGTCTTGGGGCATAGAGCCCTCCAGAAACAGGTATCAACAGTTGATCAACAAACCAAATCAAGAATTTGAAACTTACACAATGTAGTATAAAAGAAAAGAAAGCAGGCTTAAGATAGATATGCAAAATTAAATAGATGTTCTAACCTCCTCTTAGGTCCATCCTCTTGAATGTGGATATGAGTTGCCACATCAACATCAGGCTGCAATATAATTCAGTAAAAGAAATAAATAATTGTTACAAATTTTCTTCAAAAGACTTCCTGTACATATTATTACAAAGATTTATTGCATGGTGAGCACAAATTATGTTGCACGGAAACGGATACGGGGACAAAAACAGGTACGGGTACGGGAACGGGATACGGCAAAATCAAAATTTTAAAATACGGGTACGGCATGGAATACGGCAAAAAAATACATATAAATCCATAAAATGTAAAGAAAAATTAAAAATAATTCATGAAAAAATAAATAAATAATAAATATAGTGAGTACCATTTAAAAAAAAAAAAAAAAAAAAAAAAAAAAAAAAAAGCAGAAAGTGCTCTCTATACACCTACTTGACTGCCAGTCTGCCATCTATAGTCACTGACTTCAAGAAAAAAAAAAAAAAACTAAAAAGAAAAGAAAACAAGTTCAAAGAAAGGAAAAAAACGAGAACTAGAAGCAGAGCAGAGAGAAGAAAGAGAAACAGTTACAAGTTAAAGCCTCGCCGGTCGCCGGTGTCGGGGTGGTCGCAGGTCTCTGGTCGCCGCAGACAACTAAATCAGGTCGCACCTCCCAGGGAATTGCCGTTTGCAATAGTTAGGATTTGTGAAAATTGGGGGAAATCGAAAATAAGGTTCGTAATTCACTAATTTGGGGTTTTAAAAAAAAAATGGCTGAGCTTCTAAGGGAACGTCAGAAATTGGGTTTTTCCGTACCCAAAACGTTTCCAACCATGACTCTAAATGTCCCTAAAATGACTTGGCATAACACTTTTGATGGGGACGGAATGGGGACGTATCCTAGGCGTCCCCGTACCATACCCGTCCCCGATACGTTTCGGGTACGGGAAACGACACTCCATCGGCGTACCCGTGCATCATTGAGCACAATTACATTCATATTCATCTATAATTGATTCTCTTTAAAGGAGTGTATCAGCAATGTTTATACTATGTGCATAGTCGCATACCCTTAGCCCCCTAAGGTACACATGTATTACAGCTAGAGCAAATTCAAAACTGCTCTTCCTTGCATGTATTAAGATCCTTTCCAGATAGAAGATAAGGAAACCTGGAATCCTCTGCCTATCAGAAATCACAAGAACGTCAAATGTAAGTTTATGCAGAAAACAGTGCACAAACACATAACAAACTCCTAGCATCACCACTTTATCCTTTATTTTAGAGCACAACTGGGGATCCTAACACCCACCCTCTTGCAAATGCCAAATGCACCCCCAGCTCAAGAAATGTTACACTTGATGCTGGAATTCAAATTACCAAATTAGTTGCTCCAGTTTTCTACTTTTCTAATCTAAGAAAGGCATAAGACACATAAGATACAAGAGTTTAGCAGGGGCAAGGGGAACTTTGCCATTAATTATGAACAAGAATGGTCCGGTGTAAGCAGAGATCGGCGGAAGTCCCATCCCATCAATCTTCAAGGAATGTATTTTTATATGACATTATGCAGGTGGTCCGTAACAACAGCTGATAGTCAGCTATTATTATGATCATAGCTCATCCTGCTCTACTGCCTTACATCTCATCGATAATGTATATTTTATAGCTAGCGTGACAGGTGCGGTAAAGAGGCTGAATTACATCATATATACATGTGATCTGCTGAACCCCCCCCCCCAAACAACAACAACAAAGCCTTAGTCCCAAAATGATTTGAGGTCGGCTAATATGAATCGTCATAAGGAATCGTACGATATAAAGAAATGGACATAACAAAACCATCATCTATAAGAGTTTGAAAAAAAAGGTGAGTAAACGAAAGAGCATTTAAGAAAAATTAAGGAAGTTTTACAAGGAAAATCAAGAATAAAATCCAAGAAAGTTTTAACGAGTGGTTACAACATTCAAGTTGAACACACAAGGTTTGAGAAAACTTTAGCAAAGGAAACAATGTAGTTCATAAAACATTGGTGAGCTAAAAACAAAATTAAAAGTGAAAATAAAATTAAATAGTATATATAATCAATTCACGTTGTTGACTTGAAATTTCTCCCTCCACACTGCCCTATCCAACACCATATTCGCCTCAATCCCCAAATCACTAATGTCACTCTCAATCACCCTCTTCCAAGTTTTCTTAGGTCTTCCCCTGTATCAATTTGCAATTCTTCTTCCTCTCGCGATCCCAACACTTTGCAATTCTTCAAGCCACCTTACCAGAGTGTCACTTGGTCTCCTTCTTACATGGCCAAACCATCTCAAGCAATTCTCCCTGATCTTGCACTTAATCGATGTAACCCCTACTTTGTTTCTTATTATTTCATTCCCTAACCGATCCTTTCCTGTATGACCACAGATCCATCGCAACACACGCATCCCCCCCCCCACCCCGGAAAAATAAAAAACAAAAATAAACTTTGCATTGCAACACGCCAACACTGTCCAAACAGTCCAACACCATTTCCGGTGGCTGATATGTTTGTCCATGCACGCAGTTCACATTCAAACAATCCATAAAGATATTCTGAACACAGAACAAAAGAGCTTGCTCAAATGTTTCCATGTATTTTTCTAAGAGGCTAAATAAATAGATAACATGCAAAATCTATTAATCACTGTCTTCTTTATTTGGTTTCACAAACATATGAGAGCAAGTGACTAAGGTTAGTAACCACAATTACTGTTTCCTGAATCCTTATAAATATGAAATAAGCACATGAGGTTTGAAGTGGAAAGATAATTCTTTAGGATTTATTATTTGGTCAAACTGGAATGCAAAAGGCATAGCTAATGTTAGTGAATACACAACACCCGCACCCCGACCCCTCTTTCTTCTGATGTAATCCTCTGTATATTTCCAAAAAACCTACACACAATGACAGTTCTTTGCACGCTTGTGCCTAGGAAAAAACACAAAGTAGTTTGAAATATTGCCAAGATGAGAGAGGTATTCAGGATGAACTGCTAAGCAACTGGAATGTACAAAGATGGAATTCGAAGGAAAGGAAATGGAAGAGGGGATAACTAATAATTGTATACACATTCCCTCCTCCCCCCGACCTCTCTCAACAGCCCTTATTCTATTAATATAACCTCCTATGTCTCCCTCTGGCCACTTCTCGGTTATAGGCCCTTAAACCCTAATGCCTAAGAAATAAGAATAACTGCACAAGTAGCTTGAAACCTTACTAAGCCTATCAATTGTAGCTTGCTTGTTTTTCCACCAATTGATATCCCACAGCATATTGCACCAAACCACTGTCCAACACTAGTTAATAAGTAGAGGTCAGTGATCCAACCTATAACTTAGTTGTATGTGTATGGATGAATAAATAGACTTTCTTGTAGAGACTAGAGGTTTAGGTTGTATTTGCACTTTTGCAGAAAGCTAAAACACATCTTATCTTTTGGGTTGTTAGGGGAATTTCTCATAATCCATTTTTTCTCCTAAAGTACATCTTATCTTCCAACCCATATTTCTCAACTAACTATATACATATTTAATAAATGTTGCATAAGACTAACATAGTTGCAATTTGCAAGAGATCAACCCAAGCCTGCAGTGTATATCACATATGGACGAAAGAAGCCCAATCCTGGCTAAGCTGGTATTCTGAGCTGGAAAGTCTGTTACAAGAGTTTGTTAGAGGAAGGGCAATTAAGTAATCAAGCGAGAATTTGTTATTTTTGTTAGCTGAGCTGGAGTTTGTTTTTGAGGGAATCTTGTAATAAATTTAATGTGGGGATGGGAAGGGAATTCATTCAGAAAGTTGATAGCAGAAACTTGGGAGAGAATTTCTTCCTCTCAAAAGAAGTTGTATTGAGAATACTCTGTTCTTCAATACAATCTATATTGGGCTATTTTCTTCTGTTATTTGCTTTGAATTCACTGTTTTGATTCTAATTTCTAGCACAATTACTAATTTTGTCCAATACTTTGATTTCAGTCAATTAAATAACGCTCTTACACAAGATAATAAATAATCAACCACAAAGTTTGGCCCAACAGGTCCTGAAATAGATGAAGTGATTGAAAAGAATAAAGAAAAGCAATACAGAAGCCTATCGCCCCGCCGACCATCAGATACGATGCTAACATAAAAGCTCAGCTACAAAACTAACAATATAAATATTAAAGAAAATTGGGAACCCCTCACCCCCTAAAAAAAATAAAAATAAAAGGCAACACACACATTAAGAATACAATGGGATCCTAGCTTGCCTACTAAAAATAGATTCCTGTAAGGTTTGTTGGTTTATAGACTAATAAACTCAAGCCCTGCATCAAAATTGGTATACAAAAGGATAAAAAGTATGGATATTTAGTAGATAAATCACTATTACCATCAGAGTCATTTAAATTATCACTTGATTGTAGTTGAGCTTAACTTTTAATCTTGACATGTCAAAAACATCATGTTTCACATTGTCAAGCTGAGAGGCACAATTTGAGGATGCAAATAAAATTGACAAACAAGTAACAGAAATAATGGAAAAGTTTAAAAAAAATTGCAGTTCCATGTTCATGTTAAATGAGTTCGTAGAATTAACAACAAGATTGCATTTACCACTTAGAAAGAGTAATCATGCTACTTTAAAAAAGAAAGAGAAGAGAGTTATTAAAAAAAAAAAAAAAAAAAAAAACAATCTACAAAAGGAAATCAATGTTTATCATTTCAAAGTAATCACCTTCTCCACTGGAGCTTTGACACCAAAAGCCTCTCCCATTGCAAGTCGTTCACTAGATTCCTAAGTAAACAAAAATATAAGTGAAAATTATAATGAAACAAGTTAAGACAGAGAACCAAAAGTACATTGCATAAAGGACCTGATAATGTGTCACTGTAACCCTAATAGTCTCAACTATTGTAGAAACACTATATTTTATGTTCAGAATTACAGTAAAACTTACTGGATGGTACTTCAGTAGATTGTCAATTATGGTAAGACGTATCTGTTCCAGCATATCAGGATCCTCAATTTTTCTCCCAGAATCTCTGCCATATCAAAATAAAATAACAAAAAATTATTAAATGGTGAAGTAATGAATAACACAAATAGTGCAGAGATCAAACAGAACTGAAACAGATCCAAAAGGTTGAATGTTGGACAAATGAGTAGCTAAGTATAACAGATAATTTTACAGTTCAAGGCAGGTCAGCACTGCAAAAGGCTTAACTGAAACAAAGACTTAGGGGTTGTTTGGTTACACAAAGAAAATGGGGGAAGTGGAAAATCATGGGAATTTGAAAATGCATGAGTTGTTTGGTTGACAATAAAAAGTGTAAATGAGGGAATTGCAAATTCATGGGAATTGTGACTTCCTACAAAACATGGGAAGTTAATTACCTAACCCCTCCTAGGTAAGTCAAACTTCCCATGATTTGCAACTTCCCTCATTCCAACAAAACAACTTTATACAATTCCCATGATTTTGATGTAGGAATTTAATTCCCATGAAATACTAATTCCTATGGGAAGTAATTTCCCATAGCAACCAAACGACACCTTAGTTTTAATTTTTTCCTGTACGTGGTTCAATAATAAATTATTTGCATTCCTTGTGATCATTCACTCTTGTTTCTTAACCAGCCATTCACATGCAAACTTATGAATTTTCAGAATGCATGATACAACCTGTAGGTCCAAATTCTAATCATTTTTATCACTACCTGTTAAACTTAAGATCCCAATTCTGAGTTGAAATAGTAAGCAAAACGACTTGGTGGATTGTATTAGTTAAAGTAATTAAGCTTCAACCTGAGCATTTTGTTCAGCAATTCCAAGTCATTCACGCAGTTTAGCCTAAACGTTGCATCATGTGCTTGCATAATTTTATTGCCTTGCTGAATAAAAAATTAAGTATTTTTCAAGAGGAAAAAAGAGCTTGTATCTAGACATAAGCACTCAACTAACATTTGTTAGACAACCATAAACATATGCTTGAACCCTTGTCCCCATCAAGAAATTTGCATCAATTGGAGATCAAAATATAAACCAGCATAAAATTAGTTTCATATGCATTAAGATGTATCAGTGATGTCACAGCAGTACCCAAAAAATATTTTCATCCATTGTTCTGTTTCATTTATTCTTTGACATACATTGAGCATTATGCAATTTTATCCTGCAACATTAGCCATAGCTAAAATAACATACTAAGGGTATCTTGTGCTCTTTAATATAAAAAGGGCTAGTAAAGATTCAGCGTCACTTTGTTACACACAAAAGCAGTAAGACAACTGAAAAATAATTCAGTCATAGTCATTTATGAACTTATGCATGCAGACTTGAAAGTGTAAAATTAAGTCTATAACTTATGGAGTAGACATCATCAATAATGCACAAATCAGGAATTGGTGAGCAATAACATACAATCTTGTTATGAATAATTTTGTTTGCTTGACAGCTCCTTCAGTAGTAACAATGCCCTTTGAGACATCTAAGCCTAAATCTTTCAATGCCTTCATCTGCAATGAGGTTCAAGGAAAATAGGTCAAAATAAATAAATAAAATAAAAAAGAAACATATAAAGGTAGCAACATGAGCAGCTTACAAGCCCTGATTATAAGTTAACTTGGCTTAAAAAAGCATCCCAAACTACATTGTACAAACCGTGTACAGATATATATTATCAGCTAATGCTTTTACTAGTTTCTTATTGCAGGCAATTTCACAAAATAAAGGTAGCACTAACAATGGTCTAGTTAAGAAATCTTTCCAGATAAATGTATGCTGCCAGTATGAAAATAAACTTCCCAAAGTAGGAGCTGCAAGAACGAAGATAAATAGCTCACTTCCATTTATTTCCATGAAAGCAGTCAACATAAGATCAGAATATCCTATAGTAAAGAATAAACCATCCAGTTTTTAATAGAAATAATTGTAAAGAAGATCAAACTACAAACTCAAAATCATACAGCTACCATTACAAACCAAAATAAAATCATTCATCAACACATTCTTTGAAGGTTAAAGAGGAGAAAGACCTATGTATCACTTCAACCTAGACCAAAGAACAAAGCATGTAATTTCACCGTGTCAATAAGAGCTCCAAGACGATCTCCAAAGCTGAGCTGCACAATTGTTGCAACTGGGTCTGAATCTTGATCAATTAGAACTACCGGCATTGGGATAGGATCAGAATCCAAATCAGACATCTGCAAAAGTAAGTCATTATATGGTTCAGATAAGAGAAAATACAATAAATCTTAAATAACCAGACTTATGACCCTCAAAGATTTAAAAGTACAAATGTATTATTAAATAAGTGCAACTCAGAACAAAAAATGACAGTAATCATCAAATTTGTGCCCATAAATCAGGATTATTCTACACTCTCAGCATTTATATATGGATGAAGCAAATACAATTTAAAATAGTCTATATAAGTAGACATAATTCTTTTTTGTATTCCCTGACATAAAATAAGAACAAAAGGGCCAAATAATCCAACAAATCCGCCCTCAAATACAGATTAGGTGCAAGAAGACTATTGCATTCAAACTATCTTGCAGTTAAAAGTGAAACTCGGAGGATAGAACGATAGAACTATATATAGATCTACACAATCTTAAAAAAACTTACCTAAACATAGGTGGGGCCGAGGGGGCAGAATCCAAGTGACATAAAGTTACTAAACCATAATACAGACTACTCAAACATATTCAGCTAGATCTGGAAGCAAGCATCCACCACGTCCCTTACATAAACATTGTAATATACTTCCTTCATTCTTTTTAGTTGACAAGTTTCGTTTATCACCTCAGTCAACGCATAAGTTTAGAAATTCATATTTTTATCAATAAATAAAATTTATAAAAAGTTGATAATTTGAAAATATATGTAGCAATGAATCTAACAAAATCCCATATGACTTTGTTTTATTAAAATTATAAATTAAAAGCTTGTCAAAGTAGAGACTGAGAATAGTGTCAAAAGTCAAAATATGTCGATTAATAAATGGACAGAGTAACTTTATCCACAAAACACCTCCCCACTCTCTAGGGAGGGTAGGATCGAAAGAAAATAGTAATGAGAAGATCTAGTTTTAGCTTGTAACAAGAGTCTCTCCTTCTCTCTCTCTCTCTCTCTCTCTCTCTCTAAAACATAAAAAATTAAAAATTTAAAAAAAAATCATGTGTTACACCCAATTATATGGCTGAGCCTAGTAATGTAAAGCTTGTCGCAAAAAATGTGATCCTATAACATTAAATCCTACCAAACTACCACACTTGAAACCAAAATGAAGATCCTCACAAGTCTTAATATTGACATGCAATGTTACTCTCCACAAGACTATAAAAAAAGTCATGATAATAGCATATTTAACTCTTTGAGTTCCACAATCAAGGAAACACAGAATATACAGTGGGATGAATGAACCCAGTACTCATTCTCCCACGCGACATGTTTTGTACAATCAATACACACTCGGTTGAAGATTGAATTATTATAAAAGGCTATATACTCTTAAAATACATTCAAATATCAAATACAAGTAATTCTTTTAACACAAAAAATTTTTCATTTGTTTAATATTTAGTTAGAATTTGATATATGTCAAGATTTACTTAATAACTTTATTTTATAAAAATAATATTCCCCAAAGAAATTTTCTATGATATATTTGTAAGTTATATCTCTCAAGCAATATATTTTTGACATAACCAATTCCCCTTAGAAAAGTATAAAATTTCCAGATAGTTTATATCGTAGCTGTGTCCATGGTATTGGTCAAGACACTCTTTTGACCGTGTCGGCGAATATTTTGGAATAGAGTGTCGGACACTTGTACGCTACACCCAATCTCGAGTCAGAGTAACATAGGTGCTAATAAACAAAACAAAAAAGAATTAAATTTGTTTAAAAAAATTTATTTGCATTGGTTGCTAACTAAGGAACGAAGCAAATGTGCCTCATACAAGTCATTTATTTTCTTATTTATAATAAAGCCATGGAAAAGATTCATTGGACACAATGAAGAGGTACATCAAGATGAACAAGAGTGTGTGTCTATATTATGGAACATCATGCAAAGAATGTTACCCAAGATAAAACACAAACTTAAACACTTAATAGCACCTTCGATTCAGTTTGAATAAATACATTTTCGATGAAAGTTGAAAAGAAAAGGAGAATGAGAGTGCCAGAGTAACAAAAAAAAATTAACAGTAAGGAAGAGGTAATAAAATGTCAGATTCACTTCCTTTCAAAATAAGTTCACTTCCGCCATTGGAAAATCTGTTTTTCACACAAATGAAAACAGAGAAAATCATAAAAAAAAAAAAAAATAAAAAATAAAAAAAAAAAAAATATTTACACCTAACCAAACACTCCCGTCATGTGTGTGAGATCAATCAAAAGTTAAAACATATAACATAGACTTCCTCCACTTCTGATTATACCGCGAAAATGCCAACAACAAAACCCCATTTCTTAAAATAAGGCAATTGAAAACAAAATGGAGCAGCAACTTACCAACGAACTAATAGCATTTGTGCTCTCGGGAGAAGCCTGCACTACATTCCTGCACCAAACCAAAAAAAAAAAAAAAAAAAAAAAAAAAAAAAAAAAAAAACTTAGCAAACAAATTAATCAAATATAATTGAAAAGAGTCATCAACAAATTGAAAATTAAAATAATAATCAATTACTTGTTCTACAATTATTATAAGTAGATAAAATATTCAAAACCTAAATTTCAATATCAAGAAATTTTAAAAAACCAAATACTGAAACAAACACTGCCACTTATATGACAGAAATTGAAAATGCAACGATAGCACTGCAATTTGAGCTTCAATTTTGTTGTTTTTCCTTGTAAAAAAAAAAATTAGATTAAAAAAAAAAACTTACGGTGTTTTGGAGATAGATAATCCAGAAAGCAGAAATTTAGACGAAATGAAGGAATTCTGATTGTTGTCAGCATGAAATCGAGAAATCTGAGGCGCAAAATGAAAGAAGCTTGTTCGACGAAGAGAGAGAGTAGGAGGAGTAAGGAAGGAGTTGGTAGCGGCAGCCATGGTTGATAGCTTTGACAATGGCGTCAGCCTCCGATGAGAAGGAAGGGGAGAGAGAGATGAGAGAGGGACAAGAAACGATAGATGAGTAAAGAGGAGTATAATATGGAGTGTGACGCAGCCTTAGCTTTCACTTGTTGGGGGTAGATTATCCTTTCTTTATGTCAAAAGGACAATTATGTGAATCATTATGAATGTGATGTTATATTGAATGGAAATTTCTTACCTCTGCCCATGTGACTCTCTAAATACCCAAAAATAATAATAATAATAATAATAATAATATTGAATGGAAATTTTGGTTTTAATAATTCTATTCATTCGATTAGGAATTATTCAATTACTTTGTGACTTGGGTGTTGTTTTGGGATGTTTTTGAGTAATTTTTTAATTTTTATATAGTGTGTTTGAATTATGTAAGTGTAGGTCGCCTACGTTAAAGCATGTGTGAATATACTTGGCACTCATAGGAAGTGGAATTGACATTACGATTAGGGACAAGGAAAGTAGGGAGCCGCCAACAAGTTTTTAAGGAACTTGTAAACCATTCACGAATCATAAAAAGGCAACCACGAATAAAGGGACAACGAAGGCAACAACGATTGACCCGTGAAGGTTACACCCCATTCATAATCCATGAGATTACTAACTCCATATGGTTCGGAACCACGAAAGGAGGATCGGGGATGATGGTACGAAGTGAGTCATGGAGTCACATTCGCCCGTGTTGGCCTCTACTCGATTCTTATAGTGAAAAGTGAATCCTGCGATCTCAAAGGCATACAAATAAAATATTCAATTTGCTCCAAACTATTATTACGCTAAATTGATTGAATATTAATGCAACATATAATTCTAAAATATCGTGACCACTTGATTAAACAATAAGATTAAAAAGGAACCTAAACCGGTCGTCCAAATTATCTTATTAGGCGTGATTTTCAATTACATATTCCCTTTAAACATGCAATATAGTGATCATAACAATAATAGAATAACATCAATATTGGAAGCAGTTCAACAATAATATCGTTAGTCAAATCAAATATAAAATAACCTAATCATGATGCTAGCAATATAAAAATAAAATAAGAGTAATTAACTTAATTAATTACTCACATTTCGCGTGTTCCTTTAAATTGCTACATCGTGAATAAACTGTTAGTAACTTCAATTAAAATATAAATCAAATTGAAAATTAAATTAAATAAAAGTAGAGTTGATTTGGTCCAAACCCTCAGTTATTTATACCTTTCACGCCTTGGTTTAAGGACGGAACCAGGGGTTTAGTATAGACTCCTTGGAGTGCTTAGGGGAATTATTATGGAAGAATAAGGAGGCTAGAAATTAGGTTAAAGAGGATTTTTGGTGTAAGGTGAGATAGAATGATTATTGGTGCTCCGAACTGCAGAAAGGGGGGTCCTATTTATAGGGAAAATGAGCAGGGGGAACACGTGGAACCCTAAAAAGATAAAAACCCTAAAAAATAATACCATGTCACGGAAAAGAACACCGTGACACGGTGACAGGCACCGTCAAACGGGGGAAGATCCCATGACACGGGGAAAAACTGAGTGACGCGGGAAATAATTAGGTTACGGGAAGTGAAAACGCGTTTAGGGATTACTTTTCATTTTAACCATCTATTTTGACGTACCATCAGTCCGTTTGCTTTCCCTTCCGTTTAAAGTGGCTGAATTGGTTTTTAACCATTTGAATTCTAGGGTAACTTCTTCAAAAAGTAACTGTTCGAATCCTTGGGAGGGAAATCCGGATTTACCGTTTTGCCCCCATAATTTTTGCCTTTAAATATAGGATGTTTGACTTCATTTTGTTACTCTGGAAATTTAAGAATTCTAGAGAGATGTAATACCCTAGAAATTCCTTTCTTTTAAAATACATGTGTTTGCCCTATTTAAAACTCAAAATAGGAAAAATCTAAGATGTTGTCAACACCGTGAAGACGGCTAAGGCAACTATCAAAGAAACACAGTGGAAGACTCTCCTTTAAAATATTTAAAATGATTCAACTTAAAAAGTCAACCAACGAAAGTAAAGTCAACCAAAGTAAAACAAAGTCAAACCTACAACTTGGAACCATTGTAGGCCCTACAAAACCAAATCAAATTCAAAACCTTTACAGTAGTCTCGCAACAATAATATCATAATATAATTAAAGCAATAACACATCATAAACATATGGAAACTGGCATGATTCGCTCTTCATTCATGCCCATCATGAATATGCTTCATCATCTGAAAAACTCCTCTCTACTTGCTTCCACTAATCTCCATTAGAAATGGGTCGTCATAGGGCCAAGGTAAAGACAAGGCCAATAAACATACAAACACACAATCAGCAAAGCTGAGTACATAAGCATAGTTAAACACATTAACATGCTTTTACTTATCAACACACAACTTACTTTGTTGCATCTGTTTTCAAGCACACAACATACAACAAAACTTCTCAACTAGGTAACTAAATAATTTATTTAGTTTTGATTACGCATCAAATAGGTTTCCCCCTAACATGCCCCAATAAAGGGGTACTAACACGGGAGCTAACCGTGTCAGTATACAAGAATCACTTGTAAGTGGCGGAATTCTTGCGCATAATAATAAAAGGAAAATACAGTGTCTTGTATTCCTAGTAGAAGTTATGGTCAAATATAAAGTCGCATAACTCCCCCCATATGTTCATACTCAAGGTATATACATTCCAAGTGTTTTGGTGCGTAATCTCTTTTACTTTACGTTCTTTACATATTATCAAACTTAGTGATGAATCTCAAACCATAATAAAATCAAACATTATAATTATTCAAACAATTAAACATTCCAATTTGATTCTTGAATAATTAGTGACCACGTAATATTTAATGTTGAACCCTTTTTGAATTTATCTCAGTGTCAAAGACACCTTAAACGCTTAATGCGCCAAAAATCCTATCCCTCGGTGTTTATAACACCTTAAGTGCACTAAGGCACCAACATATAATTTATTCCTCGTGTACATAGACACTTACATAGCTCATTTCTCATGCTTATAGCATCAATAAAATTATATGAACCATAATAAATTTTCCTTTTAATATTCCAAATCAAATTAAACATTTAGTTTAATTAAACATGCTTTATCATGCCATAAATAAAAGTGTGATTCATATTCAACATGCCAAACTATTATTTTTCAATCAATAATCCATCACAAATAAATCATACATCATAATTTAATCACCAATATCAACCAAATCACAATTCCCTATCATAATTTAGCATGATACTACTTGGAATTAATTAATCATATCTAGCATGCTACAATATCATAAGAATATGCTAAGTACGCGAACGTATGCAACACCCTGAAATTACTCTCCAATAATAATAATACAAAACATGATTAAGAGAGTAGCTTAGGAGCATTACCGCCACGTAATAACGTAAGACTTTTAAAAACAGAGACTTGCAACGGAAGATGTAATACCCCTCATGATTGCTTTAAAAGGATTTGATATACTACTCATATCAACAAGATTCATCTTCCTTTTAGGGAGCTCATAAGCTAAGATACTCCATAATTAAGCGTGCTTGGATGGGAGTACTCTTGGGATGGTTGACCTCCTGGGAAGTTTTCTCGGGGTGCGCATGAGTGAGGACAAAATGCGCCGAAAGGACTCGTGTTGGTCGGTGGGGACAATTGTTGGCCCTTAATGCGCATTTCGTGACAATAGGCCCCTCCCTAATTTGTTTGAGGTCGGGGTGTTACAGAAGAAATACAGCTTAGCTTTCATTGAAAATAGAAATAGTTTTTGAAACACAAATCTAAATGGTACTCATACTAATTCAAAATAGTGAGCCTAGACTGATTAAGTGATTCTGCCCTTCGTCCCCGATGCAACATTTAGCTCACGTTGAGTCATCGTGATCACCTATCTACTTATCATAAATGATAAGTAGGGCCAAGCCAAAACAAAAGAGAAATACGCGTTAGCAAAACGCTAAAAGTACATATAAGTGCTAAACACGTAAATTAGTTTAGTTGATTAAACACTCTTTCGAAATATATAATTCTCATAAAATATGGTTATTCGAATTTTCCATAGGCAAGATTTTATATTTGGGAAAACATCCCAAAATTTATAATTCTCTAAAATATTTTTCAATAAAGGTAGAATAATCAACCATTTTATAAACAATTTTTCCAACCTAAGTGTGCACACCCCACAAGCTAGTAACTCATTTACATAGTCTATACTCAAGGAAAGACTAGATCATACAAAGCTTATAGTGTTATCATTTATCTCCACATAGTGGAAGTCAAGAAAAATCCAATAAACATCTTTGATAAATCAATCTTCCAATTCCCATGTATGGGATGATTAATTAAAATTATAACATTTTCCCTTTTAAACAATTTGGTAAACAAATAAAGTAAGTTAACAAACAAGCTCATAAAACATTTAAATATTTAAGATCGAACAATAGTTTTATTGAAACATGCTTATAGAATTTAGATTGTAAACATTTATAAATCATTGTTCAACATTTAAACATACTTCATCATTTAAAAACATAAAACACATTTGTATATAAAATCACATAGTTAAAGATCTAGCCACGAATACGTACCTTGATCTTTGAACACAAGTACGGAACTCCTAATTATGAACTTGATACTCTCCCTACAATAACTAATAACTCAAGACGTATAATATAAACTCTAAACTAGTTGTGCATGAACAACTTAAATATTATATCCTTTTAATAAAATTATTACTTACTTTTATAAACTAATCTTTAATCCATTAATAATAATAATAATAATAATAATAATAATAATAATAATAATAATAATAAGTAGTAGTAGTAGTAGTAGTAGTAGTAGTAGTAGTAGTAGACTAGTAGTAGTGCATAGGTAGTAGCATATATATAATAAGTAGTTGTAATTAAACTAATAATAATAAATAAAAAAATAATAATTATTTCCAAACAATTAGTCCAAAATAGAAGTGTTTAGGAAAAATCCCACTTACTTTTAAGTGTTTTTGGTGGGATTTATATCAAGTTAATGAACAAATTAAAAGACCAATCTTAACCTTTTTTTTATTTGTTTTTGGTTTTGTTTGTAAAGGAAGTACCG